AAACTCACTGGCAAATGAAACCCCATCAGTAACACTGTAGACAGGACCTGAAATATTCAATCCAGCAACTGTTTGGTGTGCACATACCACAGAGGGCGTTGCTTTCTGCCAGCTGGATGCAGCTGCTGGCTGAACTGGCCAAGACAGAGCCTGCAGCTGCATGCCTTCCCAGATGCACATCCACACTGAGAATGGAAGTCCTCCTTCTCTGTGTACCCCATTCCACCACAACGAGGAAAGATAACTATTCTGGCACCTGAAATGCTTCTGTTCCTCCAGCCTGGGCACTGCAGTCACAGCTCTGCAAGGAGTCACATCTGCAACAGAAGGACTTTCCCCAAAGCAGAGGGAAAACAGGGTGATTCAGGAAGAGAGGAAAAAAGGAGTCGTTTTCTAACTCTTGATGCAACTGAACATGGTGTGTGCCCGACATGAGGGGGCACTCAGCAATTAAAATGATTTTGCAGAGGGAAAGGAGAGAGGGAAAACCTTCCTCTCAACGCTGCAAGGCCCTGAGGAGATGAGAAAATCAGACAAAACTGCAAAACAGAGAACAGCTTTTCAGGGGACCCTAAAGGGAATGGGGAGACATATGATAGATGCAATGGGACAGGACTTAACTGGATGCAATTTAAAAACAAATCATCCCAGCTCTTGCTTGGGCTGTTGCCCTTTGTCACTGGGCATCCTGGGCACCCCAGACCTCCCAGCTGCTGGCTTTCCACCACGCATCCTCCCTTGAAGCCAAGCACGCCTTTCCCAGCAGCAAGCAGCAGGCTGGAATGAACACCAAAAACAAAACCTTTCCCTGCTCTTCTTTCACACGTTGTCTTTTAGTTTCAGAAAATAGGGCCAGACCTCAGTGAAATGAAAGCTCTGGGAAAAAACAGCTGCTTTATTCTCCTCCTCTGCTTTCCTGGTCTACACCCCACAGGAAGGTCGTTTGCCAAGCATGGGATGCAATTATCAGGTGTATGAGGGGCAGAGCTCATTTTCAAAGGCTTGTTTCTTTCACATTACTTCCCTGACGTCTGATACCATCATATAATCATAGAATCATATAAAAGACCTGGGCTGAAAAGGACCACAGTGATCATCTAGTATCAACCCCCCTGCTAGGTGTACGGTCACCAACCAGGCTACCACTAGTCCAGGCTGCCCAGAGCCACATCCAGCCTGGCCTTGAATGCTTCTGGAGACTGGGCATCCACAACCTCCTTGGGCAGCCTGTTCCAGTGCTTCACCAACTCTGTGTGAAATAACTGCTCCTAATATCTAGCTTAATCCTCCCCTGTCTCAGTTTAAAACCGCTCCCCCATGTCCTATCTCTATCCGCCCTTGTAAACAGCCCTTTATCCAAGAAAAAGAACAGCCTAGGGATTTTGTTTGATTGATTGTTTTATTGTGGGTGTTTAATTGGTTGTTTTTGTTTTGTTTTGTAGGAGCTCATCCACATCCTGCACACACTCCACTTGAACATCAAGGGGAGCAGGGGGTAGTCTTGCAGATGGAGTAATGCAGGAATTCCCACAGGATCTTGAGGTGTATCCAGTTCATCATCTGAAACCTCTGCAACCAAACTGGAAGGGACTAGTCCTCTTGTGCCATTTGTCAGCTCTCCCTACAACCAGGGAGAGAAACCAGCCAGCACAGGGCACAGCCAGAGCCAGACCAGGGGAGAAACACTCCTGCAGGCTTCTACCACACAGGACCCCGTTCATCACCCCCAGGTGGCTTTGTTGCATAAGGGCAAAGCTCACAACTCTCTGGGAACTGCAAGTGGTGGGAGCTGAGCAGCATCACAGAGGTCTGCAAGTACCTTCTCTGCACGGCGCTGGAACAACTCTCCATACCCCACTGAGTTCAGCCATTTTCAGAGAGCCATCTCTGGCTTCTTTTACACGTGCTCTGTGCCCACACGCTCAGATTTGGCTGCTGACCAGTGTGCAAGGGCAGGCAGCAAGAGCCTGCAGGCACACAGTGACTCTGGTGAGTGACGCTGGATGAGCGCGGCACAGAAATTACCTGGCATGCCAGTTGTTGGCCCTGCCTGCGTTCCACTGTCCGAGACTGGCAGTGTGGGACACTGTGGGACTAGCTGCCTTTCTGCAGTGCATCCTGCTCAGTTTCTTGGTCAGTTCCTTTAGAAAGAAAGCAGGACAGCAGGAATGGATGTGATGTGCTCTCATCGGGAACTGAGCTACTCCAATCCTGAGCTCATGCAAAGTCTGCTGCTCCCAGCCCCCCACATCCACTGTCACCCCCTCCGTTGCCCAAGGACATTTGGGACCTCTCAGGAACTGGAGGATGCTGACCCTCTCATGCCTCCTCAGCTCCTCTGCAAGGCCCTCACACCTTGTGTTGTGAGCATCACCAACCATCACAGCCAGCTATCTGAAATTCAGGCTCCAGCACAAGCACCTTCAGAATCAGCATCTCCAGCCCATGGCTTTCACTGTCTGCCACATCTCCAAGGCAGTTTCTCCCTCTGGGGAAGTGAGCAGTGCCCCCATAGACTTTTCTGTCTCAGTAAGTCTCTGCCCACTGCTTCTTCTGGAGGAAAGCCCCGAGGAAAAGCTTTGCCACAGAGCCCCATAAGACCCCTCTGCTGCTCTTCATGGCCGAGCAACTGGGAGCAATTGCTCCACATGCCCTGACTCAGGCTCACCCTCCTTTGTGCTCCAATCCTGCCAGAGCTGATGTGGAGGGGGAGGGGCTCCCACCTTCGGCCTAGGCATGTTCTTTTCTGCACGGCCTGCCTAAGTGTGACCGCCATCATCTCTTGTCTTTGAGGGAGCGGATGAGGACGAAGGTGAAACTCTCCTGGGGTTGTTTGTTTACGATGTGGACGGAGAGATCGCCCACACCTTCCACGTGCAGGTATGGCCAGTGCGTGAGGCAGGCTGCTGGGAGGGAAACCGTCCTCCTGCGGGTGTGGAGGGACGACTGCTGGCGGGAGGGAGGAGTGCAGCTGCCTTCCCCCATCAGCAGCGCCGTTCTGGCGTCCCACGGCAGCCCAGGGAGCGGAGCAGAGCAAGTCAGTGTTCTGCCGCTGGCAAAGGGAGCCGTGCGGATGTGCCGCGGCTCTTCCCTCTCTGTATCAGCAGGAGGAGCCCCGCAAAGCCTTCGGCCGTGTCAGTTTGGAGGCGCGGAGCAACTGAGGAAACGCAGAACGCACCTGCGTGTGCCGAGCAGAAATTCACGGCAATTCGTAAAAGACAGCAGAGATTTTTAGTAGCAATATTGAAAATAAAAGGTCGGTTACTTTCTGCCCGCGCTGAGGGCGGTTACTGGAGCGGCTCGTTGGGGCCGGGCAAGGGAGGAGCTGCGGGGCTGACTGAGGCGAGATGCGCGGGGTCGTGTGACGTCATCACTCCGCGCCGCGAGACGGAAGCGGCCGTGCGGAAGTGGTGCGGCGCAGCACTGTGACGTCATCACTCCGCGCCGCGAGACTGAGGCGGCCGAGTGGAAGTGGTGCGGGGCCGCGCGCTGCTCCAGCGCCGCAGGGCAGCCCCGGGCTCTGAGCTCCGCTTCACCTTGTACAAGTGGGTGTTCGGGGGGGCACCGGGGCTGGGGCCGCTCTGCGTTGGCCCCGTGGGGCCTCTGTGGTGCTCAGGGCCTGTGCTCGGTGTGGGGAGGTGCGCTGTGTCCCCCACCCTCCCAATCCAGGGTACATCGCTGCCTCGTTCCCGTCCACGGTTCGGCCAGTCCCTCTTTCTGACCCTCAGGGTCACACTCTGCCCCCGATCCTTCCCAACACTGACCTTTAGAGCCTCCCCCAACTCCAGTTCCCCCATTCCTTTTCGACCCCTACCCCCCCCAGCTCCAGTTCCCCCATTCCTTTTCGACCCCCCCCCCGCTTCCCCCCCAGTTCTCCATTTTTACCCCCAGGGTCCCTTCCCCACCCTCACCTCATCCCTCCCTCCTTATTCCCCCATTCTCATCCTCTCCCCCCCTCCCAATACCCCCCTCAGTTCCTCTTGCCTCAGATCAGATGACCACAACATAGACACCTCCCTGTGAGGTACCTCACCACTGCTAATTAGTGAGCCACTAATGCTCACATGTGGAGATTAAGGATAGGAAGGAGCTGTTCAGATGCAAATATCTGGTGAAATGTAGGCTGTTACTCCCAGAGTGTAGAAGGACGTTCCTTTGTCTAACAACACCTGCACTGGCAATAGATACCCACATCTGGGACAACTGAAGCTGTCCCTGCTGTGCATAATGAGAGCAGCCTATAAAGGGTTTTACCCGAACAAATGGAGTCGTGTGCTACAGGAGCATGACTAAGCTTATTTCTTCTGCTTCATCGCCTGTTTTCTAGATCTTCCTTGACTGTAGTGGCTGTTGTATCATGGACATTCCCGCGTGTCCTCAGCAGTTATCAGCAAGCTTGTCCCAGCTTTTGTGTCTTCTTGCAGGACTTTATTGGATACAGCTAGTGATAGATGGAGATAAAACGAGGGATTCCTTTGCAAACTGTATCCTTAGGTGTCCAGACGTGAAAGAGCCTATGACTCACATGCAGTACACCATGGAAAAGATTCTCTCATTTTGGTCACTTGAGCTATTATAGGATAACATCATTAACTGTTGTGTGGTCTTGATCAGGCTGCTTACCAACTGCTTGATCAAGGAGAGCAGGCAGAAGTCTTTTGTCAGCAATCTGAGGTGTCTGCAGATCAATGAGCAGCTGCCCATGGGAGCTGCAATTGCCCTGGCATTCTCTGGCCGAGCAGAACAACAGGCCACCAAGTTCAGCCAACTTCTTCACACAGCTGCTGGGGGGAAACACAGGTGATGCTCAGCTGGGTCTCACATGGCCGACAGGGAGCTGGTCAGGGCTGTGATAGTCAGGGTCAGCTTTGGCTGCTTTCACCTGACATGGACCTGATACTTGCAGAGAAGTGTGAAGGCTCCAGCTGATAGAGTTCCTTACAAGTAAAAGAGTAGACAGGGATGGTGCAGGGCTACTGTTGTGTTAATAAGCACAGGAGCAGAGAGGGCTGATGTACCTCATGGCTGCTTTGCCTCTATCTTCACCAGCAATGCTCCCTGGCTACTGTCACACCAGTCCTTTGTGCCATAGTAACTGCATTCCACCCTGATTTTATATCCATTTTCTTTCAGAGAAAGCCAGCACAACATTCCCCTATGATCAGTACTCTTAAATAAAGGAAAACAATCTTTCTCTATTTCTTTGAACTTTTTTTTTTTTTTTTTTTTTTTTTTTTTTTTTTTTGGAGGGAGGGGGAGGGATAATTTTCTAAAAACAAACCTGTAATACTGAGCCCTGCAGAATTATAACAGTGTAATATTCTGTATTTCATGGAACACAGTGCACCAGAACACTTCCTGCCCAGGGTCTGCATTCTTAGATCATAAAATCAAACAACTATAGACTTATTATTGGCCACTTCAGTAACGTGAACTAATGGCAGGTGTCTCACCCATTGTATGAGGTTTGGAGCTGTTCTTCAATGTCCCTTCCAATCCACATCGGTGATTCTATTAATTTGCATCATAGGAAGTGGAAAAAACTCACCGCTTGTGTGCAGGAAAGGGTGGGACAAGGATGGTCACTGCCTGATGGGACACAGAGCAGTGAGAGAAGGGAGCAGAGGCCGTGCTGTGAGGGACAGCAGCACCTCGCATGGCATCAGGAGGCAGAGAGGTGGGAAATGCACAAAGGGCACTGGGAGCTGGAAGGCAATCAGGGCTCATAAAGGCAGCAGTGTTCAGGGAACCCACTGAACTTCCCCAGAGGATTTTGTTTGGGATTGTACAGTCTTGAGGCACGTTGGTATCAGCACCAATTAAAAAATGGGGATTGGTGTTTTCCTTGCTACTTCTTGACTGCTGAACAGTTACCAAAACTGTTTTGTTTTTCACCTCACATACATTTTTTGTGAATTAAATTGGGTTGGCCTCAGGAAAGAAGGTCACAAGGTGTCAGAAGTGTTCAGCATTGAGCCCATGGAGTTAGGCAGTTGTGCTTGAGAAACAGCTGTTATTTTTTGAGTGAGTGGTCATTTACAGAAGCAGAAAAACCATCTCTGATGCTAAATTAAAGATGAGTGTTCAACATTTGGTGCCATTATAGGTAAAAATACTCACCCATTTACCAGGAAGAAAATCCAGTGAACGTGGATAAGGAGCAGTCGTTGCAGGTTTCTAGGCACTGCTTTACCACACAAGTGAGCGTTTATGTCCAGGTGGAATGTATTGGGTAACTTCTTTGCCATGTCCACTACTAATATATTTCAGGATAGAAAGAAAAAGTAAAACATTAATGAACAAAAAATGTTCAGTTTCAAGAAGATGTTGTTTTGCATGATGTTTAGCTGTGGGACTTAGCAAGGATGGCAGAATTCAGGAGATTTTTCTTTAAATGGCCCTTCCTGTATTTCAGCAGTTGCTTTGCTAGCTCCAGCTTACAATATCCAGGCATTAACATGGAGCACCCTCGGTGCTGTCAGCTCCTGTAGCCAGTTTTAAACATCCCTAAGCTGGTTATTTCAGAACTGAAAATATAGCACTCATTTTCCTGTCAAGGCTACTGTTTGCCCTTGCCAAGTCTGGAGTTGTAAATCAAAGTTATTTCTGAAGCAGTGCAGCAGCTGTGAGAGAGGAGGAGGAATAACGTGAAACAAAGAACGCTGCAGCCACCAAGGTCAGTGAAGAAGTAGAGGAAGAAGGTGCTCCAGGTGTCAGAGCAGAGCTGCTCCTGCAAGCTTTAAAGAAGACCAGGGTTGCCCCTGGCAGCCCCTAAAGAACCACATCCAAGCAGATTCCTGCACTGCGACCTGTGAAGGACTCTGCATGGGAAATGTTGAGCCTGAACCACTGAGCACCTGTGGAAAGGACCAGGTCAGCTTTGGGAGCACAGGTGAAGGCAATTCAGCTGTGTAACAGGAAGGGCTGGAGCCTGGCTGCACCTCCCTTAGGCCCCTTTTCAGGGCTGACTGCCACAGGAGAAGGATCTCTGCCTGGAGATCCCTCCTTGGTGGAAAATTCCCCTGCAAACCTGCAGTCTACTAATGGAGCTGCCATTACCCAATCAGAGCATTAACCAAAGTCACTGCTCATAGCAATTAATAAGCTGCTTGGAGAAAATAAATAAAAAGCAAGAAATCCCCATGATCTACTTCTCACCACCCAGAAAGTACAGCAGGTATCCCTTCATCCTCACCACCACAAAGTGGCAGCAGTCCCAGCAGTGCCTGTCTCCAGTCCTGCCCCTTTCGAGTCCCTTCCTGCCTCTGACATAGCCCTGACCAGGCCCTGCTGTGCCCCCATTCCCTGTTCAGCCCATCCCTGTTTCTGTCCTTCCCCTGATCCTCCACATCTCCTTGCCCATCTTCTGGTCCTGTCCCTATCCCTACCCTACTACTATCTCCACACCCATCCTCATCCTTTTCCTTATCCTGTTACTGCCCCTGCCCCTCTGCTTTCCTGCCCATTTCCTGCCCCTGTCCCTATCCTTTGTCTACCCTAGACTTTTCCCTATCCTGCCCCTGTCTCTGCCTGTCCCTCTCCTGTCCCCTTCCCTCCCCTGTCCCTGTGCTGTCCCTGCTCCAGGCCTCTGACAGAATCTCCTGGCAGCCCACCACAAAGCTGAAAGGAAATTGTAAGGCAGAAGAACAGAAGTGTGATGAATGAGAGGGGAAGACAAAGAGGGCAGAACTGAAGAAAGGACACAGGTAAGAGGAGCAGAGCCAATGGGGGAGGGGAAGGAAGGAGATGGCAGGGGAGAATGGACAAGAGGGAAGAGCAGAAAGGCAGCGAAAATAGGATTCCTTGAAAAGAATTGTTTACAGTTTTCTTAAGAGACAGGATTTCTCATGATAAGACTGATGGTTTTCCAATTCCTGAATTACAGAGGATACATAAACACAGAGGGTTAAATAAACCCTAGCAAGAAGGTGCCAAATTCTAAAGCAAAACACCCAGGAACAATTCCACCTACTGCACTCCATGGGACCTCTTAGCTATTTGCAGAGCACCCGATGCGAGCGGGTCAGCTGTTGTGGGGGAGGATTGGGAACCATATTCCAATTTGTATCCTTGGAAGGAGATATTTTGGAAAAACTGGTCCTCACAAACTGCAGAGCCTCAGACGACCCCGGAGCAGAGGTTCCTTAGTATATGGGAACCCCGAGAAATCTGCAGGACAGCCAGTAATAGGGCTGGGAGGGAAACAAATGCAAGCCGTGAAAACACAAACAGAAATGAAAATAGGAAACCTCCTGAAATGATTGTACCCTGTCACGATTGTCCCTGTCCCAGAGTACATCACAGGGACAGGTATTCCAAAAGGACTCACCTTGAATCTCCCCAGCGGTCAGCCCCAATTTGGGATAAAGAATTGCATTCGTGCTCCCACAATTTCAGTGGGAAAAGTAGCAATGCCTGCTGCGCAGATTCCTGCTGCAACTGAAGTAGTGACAGTGAAACAGTATAGGGCCTGGGGGAGCATGAAGAGATATCAAGGACAATTAATGATTTATTGGATGCAGGAGTTTTAAGTCAACTACTACAGCTTGGAACAACCCAATACGGCCTGTGAAAAAGTGATGGGTCGTGGAGGGAATTAAATAGGCACAGCCCGCCTCTACAGCGGCTGCAGCAGGGAACCACTGCTTTAAGAGAAGTTCAGAAACATCCCAGAAGCGGGTATGCTGTAATTGATTGAGCTGATGCATTTCCCACTATCCCAATTGCAGAGGAACAGAGGAACGTGGCAGGGGTGACAAGATACTTTCTGTAGATTGCCTCAGGGATGGCTGCACAGTCCAACCATTTGCCACAGAACAGTGGCTGAACATCTGCATGATGATAAACTGCCTCCTCCCATGCAGTCAGTCCATTGTACAGATTATATGTTAGATCTTTGTGCACATAGGATCCCTGAAACACAAACTCCTGAACGCGTCTGGGACTAGGAGTGGATCCAGCTGTGCTGAGGAACCTTACCTCTGTGGTTTGAAGAGTGCACACAGCCATGGGGTTGGCTCTGATCCTCATGACACAGCAGGAGAGCGTCCTGTAGGTGTGTGTGTAACCCTGTCCTCTCTGTGGAAAATAACCAAGAGCATCCAGCCATCTCCAGTCTTGTGAAGTCACTGTTACATCTGCTACAGCATATCTATGCTCATCAATAAATGCGTTCCTGCTTCCCCCTTAGGAGTGTGTATTGTAGCTGTATCTGTTATAAACTGGTGAAGTCTGCATGATAGCAACTAGGGACTCTATTATAAGATTCATGGAGTGAAAGCCACTCCCAAATTCTCACATGAATGGCACTGAGAGCTCATTATGATTGAGAAACAAGGGACCAACAGGAGCCATCAAGGGATGAAAGGGGAAAAAGGTATTATCTGTTACATATGAAGTAAGGCAGAATGTAAATAAATGTAACAGGGAGAAGAAACAACAGCAAAGATTTTATTTTTATTATTATTTTTTTTTTTAATAACCTACAGAAATTGATTTTGCTTGGTTTGTGTCAGGCACTCAGAACTATGCCACACGCTATGCACAGGGGGGATATGGAAATGTATCATATTGCGAAGCTACAAATCTGGAAGTCCATACTCTTAGTGAGGAATCAGAATCACCACACATTTGAAGTCCAGAATCATCACAGAATCAAAGAATCTGGAATTGGGAAACAATCACAGGATCTGAAATAACAGAACTTGCACTCACAGGAGCTAGCATCTTCATAGCATCCTCATACAATCCTCAGACTCTAGAATCCTAGACTCTAGTAACCCCATAATAACCCCACCACGTTTTGTTTCCTCACTCCCACAGAGGGAAACTTTCTACAGAGGATGCTCACAATTGATGCTATCAGTCAGCATCACCCAGCACTCCTTATGGAACTGGTTATCTAGAATATCAAAGCACTGCCAGTTACAAGTGCTCATAGGTTCTTCCTCAAAAGATGAATCTTTAATACTGTTTATCATTCTAATTTGGATATGGACAGGGAACCAAGGTCCAGAATCTTTATGAAAGGAATCCCATACCACTGTGCCCTTCACAAAACCTCTCCCCTGACACTGAGCGATCAGAGGCAGCACTGCCGATGGCAGCATCAGCTCAAGGGGACACAGCACTGGAAACGCAGCGACAGCGAGAACGCCATCAGCGACAACCACAACCCCCAAGTCCGTCGGGAGGAGCTGGAGGTCAGCGACAGCGACGCTACAACAACGACTCCAGGAGCTCCCCGCGGCTGCCAGCACCGTCCCGCTGGCGTTCCCACTCTCACGGCTCCACGCGGATGTCGGGCAGCAGCTGGCAGGCGGTGACGGTGGCCACGGCGGCAGCCACGGCGCGCAGGTCACGGCGCACCAGGCACAGGCAGTGCGCGGTGGCAGCTGCCCCAGCTCGGGCTCGGCCCAGGGGCCCCCCCAGGCCTTCCAGCAGCCGCGCAGCCCCATTGAAACTGCGTCCCAGCGCCTCAGCCATCGCGCCCCGCAGCCGCCCCTCGCCCGCCCCCAGGCGCTGCTGCAGCAGTGAGGGGCTCTCCCGGGACACCCCTGGCAGCGGCACTCGGGCCGCACTGTCCTCGTCCTCCTCCTCCTCGGTCTCCGACGCCTCCCCCGGAACCTTCAGCCCGGCTGCGAGGGTCCCGGCCGCGCTCCCCCCCGGCTCCGGCTCTGAGTCGCTCTCCGAGGCCTCGCCGGGCACCAGCGTGGGGGAAAGAGGGGCAGCCACGGTCTGCGAGAAGGGAACAAAAGGGAGGAAGGGGAAGAACGGCCCCATCAGGCACGGAAACCTCCGCCCCTTCTCCTGAGTCCCAGGGCAATACCCCGCATAACGGGCCCGCGCCCCCCCCGGGCCTCGCGAGACCCCCGCTTCCCCACCCCGTTCCCAGCCCCACGGGGCCCCCAGAACGCGTCCCGGCACCCGCAGCTCCGGGATGACGCCTTCCCAGCCCTACGTGGACCCCCGCGCCCCAGTAACGCGCCAGACCCACCGCCCAGCCCCGCGAGGACCCGCGTTTCCTCGGCCCCATACCGCCGATTCTCCGGGTCACGTGACGCTCGCCCCGGCCGCTGCGCGTCGCGTCGGGTGACGTCACGCCTCCGCGCGCCCGTTACCTGGACTCGCCCTCGCTCGGAGCGGGCACCCCACGTGACCCCGTTCGACCAATCGCCCCTCCGCCCAAGCTTTAAGTGACAGCCAGGGCAGCCAATTGGCTCCGCAGAGACGAAGGGAGGGACGGGACTCTCCCGGAAGAAGGGGCGGGGTGTGCACATGACAGGCGGCGGCGGCGGCAGCCAAAGTTCATTTAAGAGTTTAGGTAGAAAAACAAACTTCTGGTGGTCTCGGTAACACAGCTACAAAAGCACCGTACAGGACATTCACAGATGTGGCATAAACCAAAGCTGGCTCTTTGTAACAGCACATTTCCTTTGTTTATTCTATTTTTGTTGATGTACATTACATAGCTTTGATTATGACAGTAAGGTTTCCTGGGCCATCTGTGAGAGCTGCAGAGCTTCCACCTCCTTTAAGCGTCCGTCCACTCACAAGTACGACCAGCCTGGCTGAGTAAACTACGCTGCATGTGCTGAGATGAAGTAGTAATCAAAGCCGCAGTGAGCTTCTGGATCTCACCAGTTTCTCTGAAAACAGAGTGGTGGAAGTGAGTAATGCAAGTCCGTATGTAAAACGTGTCTATGTAATTAAAATATGTAATGCATGTTTCCTAACACACTATAAACTTGCTGAGGTGCAAGTCCTGCCCATTGTAGGCAAATCAGGAACAAAACAACCATAGAAAAAGTAGTTATGCAACACCAGCATTATAATCGCTATTTCTCAGAAAGCCTCTTGCAGGTGATCAAAGTTTATTAGCTCAATGCCTAAGGAAGTTTCTCTATAAAATTCCTGCTTACCTGTCCTGCTATAAACTCTGACCATAGATCAGTTTAACAGACTACAAGTGTATCACACATCTTACATATAAACGAGGATAAAGTGTTTCAGAGGAGAGCAGTCCCACTTTTCAGGAGCAGGCAGAATGTTATCTATGCTAACCCTGTGAAGGACACTGAAGTTACCAAGGGTTTTTCCCTCCTAACATCACATCGCATTTAACTGTTGTGCACCATTTTCTGTATTATTCTGCTAAAACCAATCACTGAATGAAATAGCTGCAGATGCTGCCACAGACAAATAACATAACTGACCTTGTACAGCATACAAAAACTCAAAGAACTTTTCTAATAGCTGCTGACTGAGTGGTTTTAAGCAGAAGGGACCCAATTTCTGCAAAGTTGTGTGTGGAGAGGAAAAAAAGAATCAGCAGTTTTCTTCACACTCAACCCTACCTTCTTTTGAGAAGAAATGCATTTCCTTCTTAGCCTCAAAGCAGCAACAAGGACATGAATAATGAATATAGTAGAACTTATATTAAGATTCCACTTCAGCATAACGTAACTCAAAGAGAAGTGAGCTTCCAAAGAGGGGTGTGCAGGGAAGGAAACAGTGACAGCACAGTGTTACCCGATGTGAAATACTGTCTCTTTCCAACTTATGTTCTAAATGAGGTATTGACTTTTGCACAGTTAAAATACAGAGCTCTTACTTTATGGAAAAAGTAAATCAGAACATGTAATGAAAGCCTGGAGCTGTACATCAATAATTAAAGGGCATCAAATCCACTGGAACTTCACTTGAGAATCTGAAGGAATTTTGGATCTCTGACTTACAAAATAAGCTGTTTTCCAGCCAGTAAGAAGATGAATTCGTATGCTTCAACTGCAGCTTCCTTTAAAATGCCCTCCTTAGCACACACTGACTTACGAAGCTAAAAATAAAAGCTTCAGGAAAAAAAAACAAAACTAAGGATGCTGTGTTCCTGTTAGTGCTTCATGCCTGCAGCTACCATGAGAGGTCAGGAAGGGAAGTAGTCACAGGATGAAGGTCTCTTCTCTAGAGAAAAATCAGACAAGCAAAGCACAAGTGATAACAAGGGAACTTCAGAAGCACATTTCGCTTTTAAGAAGGAAAACAGACACACCTTCATCCATTTGCTATGAAATGCCCCATCATTCCATATCTATAAAGCAAAAAGTAAACAGAAGTCAGTAGTAAACAGAAGCAGTAGCGCATACACGTACATAAATATTTCACCATCATTACTGAACTTTTTCATCAGCCCTCCAGGGGTTCATGAGCAGATTATGCCTAGGATGTTATGCTGCCACAGAAAAGCAAAAGCAGTCTGAGAGAAGCATCAGTGCAAGCACACCAAGTCCTAGAGCTTCCCTGCCTTGTCTAGTGCGACATGAAAACATCGGTCCCTTAAAGTAATTAAGGGTCAGACGTGTTTGTTAGAACAAAGAGCATATAAACCCTAAGGCTTGGATTTACCAGTCAGTGCAATGTTGAGGTCCCTCTCTTTAGCTTCTCTCATCAGCCACTGCTCACAGCTTCAGAAGTCATTCTCATCATTTCCATAGCGCATCTCAGAGAACTCAGTGCCATCTAAGAAGGAGACAGACATTATAAACACGTTATAAAATTCTCTGCATTTCTCACTGCCATACTATGCAGCAGGCACACTGCTCCAGCATGGCTCACACATCCTTTCCTCTGCACTTCAAACCGAAACAAGCAGTGAAGGGAAGAAGCAAAGCTGCCACTCTTCATTCTCAGCGTGTTAACTCTTGGGGATTTTTCCCTTTTT